ACAGCCATTTTCTCTATATTGTTTATAGGCAATCTGTCCTTCGTTTACTTTCCCCCAACCACCGCTGCTTGGAAATAAATCGGTGTATCAGTCAGTGTCTGGCTTTAGAAATGGCAGTCAGCCAGTGTCAGTTGGTTTTTCAAGCATTTTTTTATGCATCAAAGACAAAAACTGTTTGTTTGTTTTCTGATATTGATTAAATTTTGCATGTGGCTGGATTTAGAGAGATAATCAAAAGGGGATGGCCAACATCCAAGCAATGGCAACCAGTCACTCTAGGGAAGTTGTTGACAAGTGGCCCAGACTTTGCAGTTTTTTTCAAAAGGAAGAGCGTGTTCATTAAACAGAAGCTTCATCAAACAGGACAGTGGTTTACATGTGAATAGATATATTCTTTACTTAACATTCATAAGTTGCTTATAGATTAATTAGCCCATCTGTTGCAACAAATGTATTCCCGTGTCTTTTGAGTTGATTGTTAAAAGTGACTGATTTCCCTATCCACTTAAAATAGTACCTTTGCTTCCATTGAAAGTAACCTTTTAGAATCAAAGAATTTATTTAATCATCCAGCTAAGAATCTGTAAGTGGCTTGCAGTAAATAAGTGTTCAACTGTCTACAGCTCCCAAAGTGATTATATCAGAGTCCTGGGATGGGGGATAACACAGGAGGTAAAAACAGATCTTAAAGAAGCTAAGTGAAGAGACCTCCAAAATGGGTATGTAGTATTGGGTTTAGTTTTTAAAATACATTCTCTCTTCCCAACACATAATGATGGTAACTGCCCAGGACAGCTGCCAGCATATAGCAATTAAGGTACAGCTTTTCTGCAGGGCAAGGCAGAATTTATAAAATGAGTGACCTTTATGCAGAGTAACTAACTGTGTTGATGAACTTCAAGTGACGATTAAAATAAGTGTTCTGTATCTTCAGTGCTTACATGTTATAAGGAAACCACATAAAGGATAGAGGATTTTAAAGGTCATGGATTTCTTCACTTCAAGGAGAAAATAAACATTTTTATGAAAGTACAGGTCAGCCACATTATTGCCAATAAAAATAAGCCGTGAGTTTCATAGTTACATGATTTTGTAATATCATTGTTCCTCGGCATAGAATTTGCATGGAAATGACATTATTGTAAATGTATGTAAAGTATATTTGTTTGGAATAATCAATAAGTATTGATTTATGTAGATAAATGAGGACATTGGTTGGTTGGTTTCCCAAGGAATTCTAATAAGATTTTATATTTTACTTCTTGAACTGTTATCCATGTTTTTCCCCCCGCTTTTTAGAAGTCAGCCCAACCTTTGCCAACAAGTACCACATAGTGGCAATTATAGTATACTTCTTGTACTTACAATAGGAACAATTCTGATGTATCAGATACAACTACATGGTATTTGTTGCCAAACGTTGACTTTTAAGGGTGATCACTAAATTTGTTATCCTGAAACTTTTTATAAACATTAAAATTGGTCAGTACAGAAGGGTTGGGAGAGAGGAAACTGTAGCTGTACATTTTGAAGGGATCCTACAGACTGTAGGGGTAAAAGTTGTTCAAGGGGCTTACATTACGTTCTAGAGTGAAAATTATGGAGTTCCCACTTCCCTAATGGGAACATCCCCCGAAGGGAGCATATTTCTATGGCTTTGAAAGAAGGAAGGAACTGGAGAGGTAGAACTGAATGATGGCTAAAAGATCCAGATTAAAGTGTTATTTAAAGCCGCCTTTGTTAGATATAACTGTTACTGGACATTTTAGTTTTTGTAACTTACACACTTGGAGGAGAAATAGGGGGAACATTCTCCTTCTTACAATTGAATCTATTTTTACACTTTTATCGATCCCTCCCTCTCCATCCCCCATATGGCACTCACAGAATTCCATTGTATATAATTATCCCCAATGATACAATTTGGCCAAATGGCAATTTTAAGGATAGAGACAATTTTTAATAATTTCTTGCATAAATTGTCAGGGAAACTCCTGTTATGCAGCAATGTAGGCCACCTGTCTAGAGCAGAATACACTTCTTTTCTGGTCATTCTTTGTATCATTTGATACTAACCTACCCCACATTAGTACTGAGGAATTTCTATGGAACTGAGGATGGTAATATCTGGTCTCTTAGATTTAAATAGATATATCTAGGTATGTATACTGTGCTCATCACCACTGTGTAGCATCTGAGCTAACTGTAGGAGTGATATGCTCTTGCCATTGCAGAGTAGTCGCTACATCATACCATGGATCTGGAAATGTCAAGATATTGGAAAAAAAGAAAGAAACATGGAGAAACAAAGCAATTCCATCTTTAGCAAATATTTGCTAAACATCAGTGGAACGCCGGTTATTAGGATAACTGTGTTCTCTTCTGGTTCTGGGAAGGTTGTGGGGGCAAATGGAATAGTCAGAAAACTTACAGTTAGGACTTCGAGGTGCTATTTGTTTTCTTAATCTGCTTTGTATTTGCATAGTGTTCGTTCATCTATAGATCTCAAAGCACTTTTTAAAGGTAGCATGCTGAAATATTGCATTTTACAGATAAGAGAGCCAAGCACTTAGGTTTGGTATTATGTTTCAGAAAGGTAGTGTAGGTGAGCGCTCTTTCCTTTCCTAGGTTATAAACTCTTTTATTGTGGAAAAGCTGGAGGAGGATCCATTTGCCTGGGCTGTGATTCTTTGTAGTCGTTAGGAAATTATGCAGGAGACAGTGAGCATGCTTTCTGCAGCATAGCAAGAGTTTGGATTTTCAGACATAATGAGTAAGGGCGTAAGAAGTTATTTTGTGCATGTGCAAATGATGATTTCCTAGTAACTCAAATAAATCTGGATGGATTTTCATGGGAACAGAAAAGATACTTCTTTGACCTCAGGACTATCCTACTGTCAGATTTCAACTGCCTCCGGGTAAGCTCCTGTGGTGCTGGCAGAGTTTTTACATGGACAACATTTTCTGTTTTTCATTGCACTGATTTTGTAAAACTTCAACAACAAAAAATCAACCTGAGGCAGAAACCAAGCATGGAAAAATTCAACCCAAATAGTTCATTTGTCAGAGGTAGTAGCAATTAAAAGCAGATGGTTATAATGGAAAATGTTAGGCAAACTTAAAATAATAGGTGTTGCTATTGCTCTTCCTATAATGTTAGGGCTTGTCTACACTTAAAACGCTGCAGCAGCAGCACAGCTGCGCCACTGTAGCGTTTCAGTGAAGACTCTACCCATGCCAGCAGGAAGGGTTCTGATCTGGGCATAGAGCCTCCACCTCCCCAAGAGGCAGTAGCTAGGTTGATGGGAGAATTCTCTAGTTGACTTAGCACCATCTACACTGGGGTTTAGGTAAGTTTAACAGATTTTTCACATCCCCGAGTAACATAAAGTATAACGACCTTATTTCGTAGTGTAGACAAGGCCTCATGTCAAAATATATGCAACGTGTTCCCTGGACCAAATTCAGATGTGAGGGATGGTATAAATAGTGTGAGGTGATAAATCGTATATTCTGTAGGAATAGAAGTGAAGATTTGTATCGGAAGGGTGTAAAATAAAGCCGGCACCTGGGATTAAACCCTTTGTGGGTTGCATTTCTTCCTACAAAAAATCACCTCTTCTGCCCATTCACAGGATAAGTTATATCATCTCACATCTGCAATGGCTTATGGCAGTTTCATTATTTGTAATTTACAGCAATGTCACCTCTGAATCTCACCAAAGTAATGTTTTCAGTGCAGTGATAGCACATGTTCTTGGTCAAGAACTCTGCTATTGACAGCCATTGCCCAATTAGCATGTTAGTTCAGTGATGTACTCATACTTTGAAAATACAGGCACACGAACATGTAGGAATTTAACACACCATCCATACTTGCAGTTATCCGTGTTATACTCCGAACACTACACTAGGAGAGCACTGGTATAGGAATACTGATATACTATATTGTACTATTCTGGGAAAGCACCCCTAGTGTGTGTGCAGCTACACTGGAAAAGCTTCACTTTGTTCCAGTATAGTAAAAACATAAAGAATTTGTTGGTATATAGATATACCAGCAGAGGTATACTGGCAAACCCTTCTAATGGAGACACAGCTTATTTCATTGTGGAGCTGATATAAGCTATCCTAACAAAAGGACTTATTGCCAGTAGAGCTGAATCTACACTGGGACTTTTCCTGGCATAGCTGTTGGATAGGTTTGTGGGGTTTTTTTCATATTCCTAATCAACATAGCAAAACTTTCAAGTGTAGACCAATATAACACTCATCCTCAGCCCCACAGCCTGTCAAACAATTGTCCTCGGCCTGGTCTACATCTAAAACTTAGGTCAACCTAGCTACATCTCTCAGGGTTGCAAACAATTCTATGCCATGTGCAAAGTAGTTAGGTTGACCATACCCCCTACTGTAAAAGCAGATAGGTCAACAAAAATCTTCCGTTGACCTAGCTACCACCTCTCAAAGAGGTGGATAACCAACCTCAATGGAAAAATCCCTATCATTGTAAGAAGCATCTACACTACAGCGACACAACTGCAGCACTTCCAACTTCTTTTTTCTTATCTTCTTAAATTCTTTACTTTGGATTTGACTTGGATTTCAATACATGTAAAGGGACAATAACAAACAAAATAAACAAACAAAATAAAACCCCACTTTTTATATATATTTTACAAACCAGACAAATAATTTATGAGATGGAATTGTAAATGTCCTTAGAGTTTTAAAAATGTATTACTTAATTTTTGCTCCTTTCAGAATCCACCAGGACTGTGTTGTAAGAGTTTTATCAGTTTGTTTTCTAGCAAAAGCCAAACACGTTATTTTCCCACCCAACCCTTATCTTCTCTCTTGCATAAGCACTATAGAAGATTGCAGTAGATAGCAGCATATGATTTAATATTCTGTACAAATCACTTATAATATGTGTTTTATACTCCTGTTTCTATAAGCCCTTTCAGTCCTAATTTGTGTAATGTTCTGTTTTCCTTTAGGTCAATGGGAAGGACCTCTCCAAGGCCACTCACGAAGAGGCAGTGGAAGCTTTTCGGAATGCCAAGGAGCCAATTGTAGTTCAGGTTTTACGGAGAGCACCCGTTAGTAAAACACATGGTAGCTCACAGGATGTTCAGCTTGTGGATGCTAGCACTCAGACCGACATCACCTTTGAGCATATTATGGCTCTGGCCAAGCTTAGGCCATCCACACCTCCAGTACCAGATATCTGTCCCTTTCTGCTTTCAGACAGGTATGGTTTACCTTTCTCTGTCACTTTTCCAGCCAACCTCATATACTATCTATATAATAAGATTCCGAGATTGTCACTCTCTCTCTCTCTCGCTCTCTCTCTCTCTGTCACTCTGAAGATACGAATGTCTGTACAGTCAGTGTGAAGCAATGGTAACAACTACAGGCAAGATTGAGAGCTCTCTTGTTTTAGAATATCACCAAGTTCAATCATCACTGGGATTTGCTGTCTGTCACCATACAATTTTTAAGTTCTCACCATATTCAGCTCTTTTTACACACATGACTTTATGAATTGCATCTGTGTGACAGCACTCATTGGTAACTTATAATATTAAGTATTCGTTTTCAGGAAACTAAGTGTTAACAAATGACTAAGTGTAGTGATAGCCTCACAGCTCTGTCTAGAAAACATCTCAGGAATACTGTCATCTCATTACTGTATAGCTGTCACTGATAGCCACAGTCCCACACTTGTTTCACTGCATCACCTCCTGAACTTCATTTGTGGATTAGAGCTGCAATAAGGAATCCTGGCTCTGATCACTTCATCTTCATACTATTTCTTCATCAAAAGCTTTATGCCAACAGTGAGCCTCGGTCAGGTAGATAGCTACTATAGCCAAAGCTGCCAAAAGGCTTATTAAGACCCAGAGAGAGCTGGCTTGTTGGCATTGTGTACATTTCTCCCTTACACAAAAGGAGAATCAAGGAAACTCATTAAATTAAGGTGGTTATCTAAAGCAAAACATTACTGAATAGATAAAGAGATTAAACATAAAATCCCATATCTTGAATGACAGTGTGTAATGAGTTATTGATTGATTAAATGAATATTTCCTCTGAAATTGTACAGAATTTAAATATTAGCGTAGCATATTTATGCAAAAATAGTGATCCATCCTTCTGGACCTCGCCTTATGAGTTACTCCACCTCTCTGTCAACGCTTCCCCTCTACTTTATCCAGTAGCTACAGGCAAAACCACAATCATACTAGAGATTTCCCATTGAACTCCCAATGTTCCATGGGTCTTTGCACAGGAGTGGCGTTGCAAAATGTATACCATATTTCACCTTGTCACAAATACATAGTCACAAAGTTCTGGGCAGGTTGGGTGGATCGTCAGCAGATCCCACTAGGGTAGTTTATGATCAGGATTCTGGTAATAGCTGTCTTTGTATCTGAGGCTACACATACGTTCATTTTATTTCAGGAAGACCTCATTCTTTTTGTCCAAAACCTATCCTGTGTGCTGGCATTTTCAAGAGTATAATTTCTCAAACACACCTTGGCAGCCTGTTGTGTCCATGTTGGAGAAGGCTGTAGAGTGCAAGTTACTCCTTTAAGGTCTGGAATAATTTGTGATCATTTAAGGGATTTAATATGGTAGAAATGTGATTAGTACAATGTTGTGCTAAGAAAGGCTCCTTCGTGTTGCTCTAGTATCTGAAGTGTATATCTGGATGCACGTAGAGATGGCACACATATCTGGAGTTAAGTACATTTAAGAGTATGGAAAAATCCTGAAGCTTATCAGCTAAGCAGTTTGGCTCAAAACAGACCCTGCTTCGTTCCTCTTCAAAAATAACCATGTGTGGATCTGACAGTAGAATTTTGCCTTTAGTGCTGTACTTGGCAAAATAAAATTAACTGGTCTCTGTGCATTTGAAAAGAGAAAAGCCCCAGCTCTTGCCTGGTTGTATTCCTTTCAGACTGTCAGATCACTCAGAATAGCATTCCAAAGATGAGAAAACTACAGAGAAGGTTTTTTTTATCCTTTTTTAATTTGAAAAACTATTGTCTCATCTATTCCTGTTGTACTGCTTTGTCCCACATAGCTGCCATTCTCTTCACCCAGTGGAGCATGAATTTTATGAAGGTAATGAGTATCTTTCCAGCCTGCCTGCTGATGCAGATAGAACAGAGGACTTTGAGTATGAGGTAAGAGCATTAGCATGCTGCAGCTTTTCTTTTTACAATTACAGGTACTGTATTTATGGAGCTGATATCCAAGTCCTGTGAGAAGAACAATAGCAGGAATGCTCTTTTTAAAAAAAAATAATTACCGGAGCAAATTCTCTCCCTCAGTCACACCTGTACATGGGTATAAATGGAAGCAGAATTTTGCCACGTATGTCTGAGTTTAGAAGGCTTATTATACACATACCATAGTTGTGTGATGGAAACTGTAGTTCAGTTGCTCTGCTTTTTGCAGTTTTGAAACTTTGAAGAAAGACTTTCAGAAATTAAAAAACTAACTAGAAGCTTCATTGCTTTTTCTTCTCATTTTCAGAAATAATTGGCCACTTTTCTACCACCTTAAGGATTGAGAGCAAGTATACACAGCACATGGTGTTTTTTATTATTAGACCATGTTTAGCCTTTGCTCAGCTATACACTGTACAGTATTTTAAATAACACGTATATAAGTTATTAAGTAGCTTTCATGAAAGTAGGGAAAATATTCTTTCTTCCTAATATTTGCTCTCCCTTAATAGTACATAAAGAAACCTTTTAAAGGTTTCAGATAACTGCTTGACATTTGGAAATAAAATGGATTGGGAAAGCTTTAGTAAATAGGCACATTGTTCACTTTTATCTTCTTTTTTTATGTTCTTTTCTGCTTACAACCTGGGGAAACTGAAGGTCTTCCCCTAGGAACACGGAAAATCAAATAAATCTACTTGGTGAAGCTAACTCAGAACAAACAAACGTTTATTTGAACTCTTCAAAAAATCATTGTTAGGGATTAGTGAAATCATTATTTCTTCCCAATTGGACTTTGGTATGATATCTAATAGCGGGAAAGTCTTGGGGCTTATGTTCTATTTCGATTCCACATGGCTAATGTAATTTTAACTTCTTTACTGAGTGTGTGTGTGTTTGTTTGCAGCAGATCTGGCTTATGTCTATCAGAGAGACTATTTGTCTGATAATATTTTTTTAAATGACAAAATAGACAGCCAGAAAGAGAATACATTTTAAAAATCTTAACTTGTTAATAAAAGTTTTTTCCCATTTTATCAGAATATTAGTAAAACATTAAAAATGCAGACAGATTTTACATTTATATAGAGTCTAGTACAGTGGAATCATGTCCTCTTTATGACCATTATTAATCCCTAATAATAGCCGGCATAAGTATTATGACAGTGGTAAATGCTCAGGCAGGTTCTCAGTAGCCTGTAATCTCTACTAATCACACCATCATAGTCATTAATTTACTGTCAGCTGTGATTCAATTGCCCAAGGCAAACCCATTGAGTGACTGAAATAAAGAATGTTTCACATAAAATTTAAATAGGAAAGGAGCTGTCTGGCTTCCATTGTGGAGAATAATTTGCTCCACAAAACAAGAGAGGAGGGAATGACTACATCTTGCATCCTGTAACAAAAAAGGCTCCAAACACAATTTCTGTAACTCAGGAAAGAACAAAAGCCAGCCCCTATGTTTAAGGCTATGTCTTCACTACCCGCCTGAATCGGTGGGTAGAAATCGATCTCTCGGGGATCGAATTATCGCGTCTCGTCGGGACGCAACAATCGATCCCCGAATCGACGCTTGTACTCCACCAGCACAGGTAGGAGTAAGCGCCATCGACGGAGGAGCCGCGGAGGTCGATTTGCCACCGTCCTCACAGCGGGGTAAGTCGGCTTGGATACGTTGAATTCAGCTACGCTATTCGTATCTTAAATCGACCTCTTTCCCCCCCCCCCCGTAGTGAAGACGTAGCCTAAGTTTCTATGTTAAATTCAAGTTCTGATGATGTGACATACATGGACCCATTGGTAATGGTAAGCATAAGAGGTACATGCATCTCCAGAAACATATGCACTCTTTTTTGGATATACAGTCTTGCACCTAGGTGTACAGAATAGTATTTGCACACGCAAATCTGTTAATTTTAAGTGCAACGGAGTCCTGCATTTTAGAAAATGTAGGAATAAAGTGAGAATTGCTAAATCTCAAACTGAATTAGCTCTTGCCATGGAAATTAAAATAAATAATAAGAAGGTTTCTTTTACTTATATAAATAGAAGGAGAATAAGGAAGGATGAGGTTGGACCACTGTGCAGTGTGGATGGGAAGGAGATTAAAGATAAAAATAGTCTAGATATGGCCCCAAAACTAAATGAATACTTTGATTTGATTTGCAAAAGTATAATATAGAACATGACTATGAAGGTGTAATGGCTGATGGAAATAAGTGTACAGAAATGAAAATTATCACACCTGAGCTGGAATGAAAACTTAAAGAGCTTAATGCACTCAAATCAGGAGGACCAAATAATTTCCATCCCACAATACTGAAAGAACTGGCACATGAGATTGCTAGTCTGGTAGCAATGATTTTTAATAAATCTATCTGTCTATTTGGGAGTAATACCATATAGCTGGTGCATAATTAGTGCCATACCTATATTTGAGAGAGGGGGGGATTTGGGCAATTACAGACCTGCTAATCTGACTTCAGTAGTATGCAAGGCTTTCAAACAAACTATGAATAAAAGAATAATTGAATTAATGAAAGAAAATGGGGATATAATGCAACATGGGTTTACCAAAGGTAGATCATGCCAGAATAATCTGATTTCCTTCTTTGAGAAAATAACTGATTTTTTAGATAAGGGAAATGCAGTAGATCTAATGTACTTGGACTTCAGTAAAGCATTTGACATAGTACAACATAGGATTTTTTTTAGTTAAATGAGGGAAGATGGAAATTAGCACAAGATTTGTAAGGTAAATAAGGAACTAGCTAAATGGGACAAGGTGATGGGTTGTGCTTAAGGGTGGCCTATCAGACTAGCGGGTGTTTACTAGTGGAGTTCCTCAGGGATTGGTCTTGGAACCAGTCTTGTTCAATATTATTATTAATGACCTTGGCACAAAAAGTAGGAGTGTGCTAATGAAATTTGTTGAGGATACAATGTTGGGAAGCATTGTCAATACTGAGGAAGATCAGAATATTTTACAAGAATGTCTGGATGACCTTGAAGACTGGAGTGGCAGAAATGGGATGAAATTCAGTAGTACAAAAGTGCAAGGCCATGCACTAAAGATCTAATAATAAGAGTTTCTTCTACAAGGTGGAAGCCTCATAGTAGAAGAGAGACCAGGGTGCGTAGTCAAGGATGATTATGGGTCACCAATATGATGTGGCTGTGGAAAAGGACGTATCAGTTGAGGCATTTTCAGTAGTGATAGAGACGCATAAATGCTATTGTATGAGGCATTGGTAAGATCTCATTTGGAATACTGCATACAATTCTGTTCACCCATGTTCAAGAAGGATGAATTCAAACTGGAAGAGGTGCAGGGAAGAGCTACTAGGATGATCAGGAGAATAAAGGGCCTTTTTTATGAAAGAAGACTGAAAGGACTTGGCTTGTTTAGTCTAGCAAAAAGAAGGCTGTGAGGGGATATGATTGCTCTCTAGGAGGCAAGTTAAAGGGTAAATACCAGGGAGGGTGAAGAGTTAGTTAAGCTAAAGAACAATATTAGCACAAAAACAAATGGGCAGAAACTGGCCGTGAACAAATTCAGGATGGAAATTAGAAGAAGGATTCTAACCATAAGAGGGGTAAGGCACTGGAAGGACCTCACAATAGGAGTTGTGGGGGGAACCCATATAATTAGTTTTAAGAGAGAGCTGGGCAAATTTATGAGTGTGATTGTCTGATGGGGTTGCTTGTGAGGGTAGAGCTCAGCAGCCCTGGGCTCACTTCTGGTTTATGTCTTATATTCCTAAAAGCTCACACTTTAGGGCTTCAGCCAATCATCTACAGGGGTCAGGAAGGGACTCCTCCTCCCTCCCCCAGTGTATTCTGTGGAGTCTTTTGGTCTCCTTCCTCTTAAGTATCAGTGATGGTCATAGCTGAAGATGGGACACTGGACAGAGTAGGCCAGGGCTCTGAGGTGGCACAGTGCATTCTCTCTCTCATGCTTGACTGGCTGATTCTTGCTCACATGCTCAGGGTCAGGAAGGAATTTCCCCCCATCAGACAGGCAATGACCTTGGGGTTTTTTGCATTTCTGTGAAGTGTGTGGGTGCAGGTCAGTTACCAGGACTATCTGGATACATCTCACTTAACTAGTTCCCTGCCATTGTAGGTGCCTTGAGCACTGATGCATCTCAATCCCTCCTACTCTCTCCCTGTGGCATGTAATAGTCTAATCTCCTGCAGGCTATAATACTTTGGCCTCATTTCAGTTGTTGGGGTTACTGTGCCGTAGTTAGGTGTGTTGTCTGCATGTGACATACAGCAGGTCAGACTACATAATCTGGTGGTCCCTTCTGGTGTGAAACTCAGTGACTTTATTTTTATGCACTAATGGCTCAATCCAAACCCACTGAAGTCAATAGGAGTCTTCCCATTGATATCAGTGGCTTTGGATCAAGCCTTAATGCCTCTTTGCAAGCACAGCTATACATGTGGTCCAAACTGAGAAGAGGTAGGAGAATTAACGATAATTGACAATCCGTGTGAAATCCTGACCACATTGAAATCAATGGCAAAACTTTCATTGACTTCAGTAGCAAAAGGATTTCACCCTGTAGCCTCAATATGTCTTATTGTCTCCAAACATTTCAGCAGTCCTAGTTAATATCAGGTATTCAAGGGGTAGCCCCACATTAAGTATGCCATCATTGATCAGAAAAATATGAGTATCAGCCTTAAAGTTGAATAGTCTTTTTATTTGTTGGGTATTGTCACAAGCTTAACATGACTTTAATTTTTGAGTTAATTTCCTTTGCTGGTACTTTTTCATACCAACACTATAAAATAAATTCCTTCTCTTTCAAAGGCTGCTGAGTAAGGGTTTGAAACTAAACAGACCTATGTTTCCAAAGTTTACACACGGGAGCATTCTCATTGTAGTCAGTGAGACTACTGATGTGAGTAAAGTTGCTCAGGTGCTTAAGTATTTGCAGGTT